AGAAGGTGGAGGAGGGTGGTTAGCTTGCGGAGGGTACGATGCTTGCAGAGGGTAGGATGCTGGCGGAAGGTAGGCGGGTTAGATACTGGTGGTAGTTAAGATGGTGGAGGAGGGTATGATGCTTGTTGAGGAGGGTATGATGCTTGTGGAGGAGGGTAGGATGCTTGTGGAGGAGGGTAGGATGCTTGCAGGCCAGTTGCTTGAGGCGGAGGGTAGGATGCTTGAGGGCCAGTTGCTTGAGGCGGCGGGTAGGATGCTTGAGGGCCAGTTGCTTGAGGCGGAGGGTAGGATGCTTGAGGGTAAGTTGCTTGAGGCGGCGGGTACGATGCTTGAGGGCCAGTTGCTTGAGGCGGAGGGTAGGATGCTTGAGGGTAAGTTGCTTGTGGCGGCGGGTAGGATGCTTGAGGGTATGATGCTTGAAGCGGCGGGTAGGATGCTTGTTGAGGAGGGTATGATGCTTGTTGAGGAGGATATGATGCTTGTGGAGGAGGGTAGGATGCTTGTGGAGGAGGGTAGGATGCTTGCAGGCCAGTTGCTTGAGGCGGCGGATACGATGCTTGAGGACCAGTTGCTTGAGGTGGCTGGTACGATGCTTGAGGGACAGTTGCTTGAGGCGGCGGGTACGATGCTTGAGGGACAGTTGCTTGATTAACAACAACACCCTGAGCTGTTTGATCCTTCTTCAGAAACATAATCACGAGAGTCACAGCAGCTCCTATGGTAATGAGCAATGTGAGATAAGCGGATGCCCCAGTATATGCCCAAGAACACATGGTTTCCCAGCCGCTGCCCGCCACTCCTGAACTAAGGTTAATGACGAATGAGACGCCAAATGTAAACAATGATCGAGGTAACCTGGATTGCTCGGGAGTTTTTACGAAGGTGAAAATGGTAAGGACGACTGACACCAAAAATAGCACTATCCAGAAAGAAATTCCGCAAAGACCACTATATCCTCCAGCAGCGAAGATACACTTTCCAATTGTAATGTGAACACACACCCCTAGAAGAATTATTACTGGGCGAGGCAGCTTGCAGTCCTCTGGGTATTCTTGGGGCTCTTTTAGGATGTGCAGTGTAACGAGAAGAGAAGCCAAAGCCATAACCGGGATCGTGCAATATGTGTAGTACTCTAGGACATAATAAAAACTATAGTCATACATCGTCACCTGAATTGCAATGCGACCAAGATAAGCGCTACTAAGATTGAGAATGAAGGATCCAATAGATACGCTCAGGAAGTCCTTTACTTTGTTTTCTTTATTTTTCATGATTGTTAAGACTCCCGCTCCTACAGCCAGCCCTATAAGCAGGAACCAGAAGATCCCCGCTTCATTCACGCTAAAGTTATATTTGTATAATTCTGTTAATCTCAATGCAAACAGTATCTTTGTTAAAGCAACTTGAACGAGAAATCCCGCCAAAATCACACTTGGACTGGGGATTAGTGACATTTCTGAATCTGAAAAAGTGGTCTAGGTCACAGGTGTGTCAAATAGCATTGCGTACCCACAATTATGTTGTGCATATTTGTTAGGTATTAATCCTTAGATAAATATGGCACAATTATGAGCCCTATTTTGTGATGGGCTTGTCAAGCAGGTCGTAAAATACACATTAAGAGAAATAATATACTATTTTAGGAGTTTATTTTGAAGATTTATGATAATGATGTAGCATGTTTTGTCGGGTACTTCCTCAAAAGTATAAAGACAGGAAGTGAAATATCTTCAAAAAGGAAACCACTTCAATAGAAAGATCTATAAAATGTTATAAATATACTAGACATAAAATGAGTCAGCAAGTTTTGTTCGATCTGAGGAGTAAAACTAGCAGCTCATCTCCCGTACGTGTGGAAGGTAACTATACAATAGTCACACTCTCTCGCGTGCTGGGAAATCCAACTCCTACTCTAACAAAAGAAACAATTTTTGAAAAATAGAGCAATCCTTCCGCTCTGTCTCGATTAGAAAATACCGGTTAATTGGGAAAAAGATTGGAAAACAAAGATCTCCCAAATGAAAGAATAAAACAATACTGAACGAAGTCGAGTTTAGTGATTTAAAGAGGTCACTGTTGGTCTGCAGGGAGAGGGTAAAACAGTTTTGGGAGCTTCTGATTTAGGAGTAATTATCCTTATATAGGAGTAATTATCCTTCTTTAGGATTAAATATCCTTCTTCAGGAGTATTGTCATTCTTGGTCCCAAATTGTAAATTTCCGTACGTAATTTTCAGCTCTCGTCTAATCGCAGCTCTCTCTATAATTAGAGAGAGGGAGCGACTTTGGAGAGAGCGACTTTGGAGAGAGCATCTTTTTGATAAGTACTAGATGCTCTGAGACCCCGTCCCTTATACCTTGCATGGAAACGATATACCAGCATACAAGCAAGGAAGCATAGCTGACATCAGAATGACCCTACAATACTTCACTTGTTCGAACTGAGGAGTAAAACTGTCAGCTCATCTCCCGTACGTGTGGAAGGAAATTATACAATAGTCACACGCTCTCACGTGCTGGAAATGGTCTGATTGTTGACTCCACTCCGATGCACGTGTCTTATCATCTACTGTTTGCTTGCTTGCTTGATTGCTTGCTTGGGGACTGGTTTGTAAGCCAGTTAATGTTTACGAATATAATAACTTTATTACATAATCATAAATGCATATCATAAATAGATCAAATCTGAAACAGAAATTTGCACGCAGTTAATAAACAAATTTTAAAAAGAAGAAAATGAAAAAAGAAAGTTTTGATAAAACAAAATATGGAGCACTCTGTGCATATAGCAGGTCTTTTTTAGATTAAGTGCAAGTCCATTACAGTCAACCCAGCGTACAAACTCGTGGGAGAATTGGTTGAATTTTTGTATAAAATCGTGTGCATTTTTGCCTTTTATTATGATATTCGCATCATCAGCGTAGAGTATAAACTTTATCATACTGTTGATATTTGGCATATCATTGATGTAGATTAGGAATAACAAAGGTCCCATAATACTGCCCTGTGGAACTCCGTATGTAATAGGTTTAAGAGCTGATTTAATGTCATTCAAATATACATATTGCTGTAGGATTTAAACTATTGCAAAGCTTGCCCACGGATTCCATAGTGCTGGAGTTTGTCAATCAGTACATCGTGAGACAAAACGTCAAAAGCTTTACTAAAGTCGACTAGGAGTAATAGAGCAACTTCCTTTTTGGCAAGGGAATTCAGAATCGTGTGTTGAGCATCCAAAAGAGCATGCTCACAGGATCGGCCTGGCCGGAAGCCATATTGCCCTTCAAAGAGCGAGCCTTTCTTGTCAAGGAAGTCCATTAATCTATTATGCATAAGTTTTTCATACAATTTGGAAAAGGTGCACAGCAAAGATATGGGTCGATAGTTAGTGGCGTCGGATTTGCTGCCTCCTTTGTGAATTGGTATAACTTTAGCTATTTTGAGAGATGACGGGAAGATACCTTGACTAAATGATGTGTTAATGATTATGGACAAGACTTTACAGAAGGAGGGGCAGTCTTTTACAATTTTTAGGGGTTCAATTTTAGTGTCTTGAGTGGATTTATTCTTAAGCTTGCTAATAATTTGTTCAACTTCACTTTCGGTAGTTGGCCTTACAAACATAGACTGCGAAGCTGGGCTGCTAAGGTAATGTTTAAAACCCCCTGGATCGAATACAGTACGCGCGCTGATCACATCTTTGATTTTTGTGGCAATGTTGGAGAAGTAAGAGTTAAAGTGCTCAGCTACATCACTGTCACTATATATTTATGATATTTCCGTCGGCGTTTTGGAGTTTAATTTTGTTATGAGATTTAGATTTTCTGCCAAGTAGAGTGTTGATCAGCTGCCATTGTTTCTTTGGGCAATCTTTATACTTATCAAACTGTGTTTTGTAGTATTTGTCCTTTGCCTTATTGACGTGCTTGTCGCAGAATGCCTTGTGCTTTTTGTATGCCTTGTAGTTTTCCTCCGTTGGGTCCACTATTTTGGCATGGAATAATTTGTTTTTACGAGCTTCTTTAAAAAAAACTCAGTCGGGTTAGACCCATCGGCCCACAAACTAAATATTATTAGCAATTAAAGCTGATAAGTGTAGCACACTAGGTGTACCTAGCTGCTCGACTTAGTGGTAGGTTTTACAAAATAAAAGACGTCAAATATGGAGTTTTACGGAAGAGAATTAAATATAGGAACTTATTAAAGAGTAGACCACAGAACTAATCTCCAAAAACTATATTATGACTCGTGAATCTAAAGCTTGTGAGGAAATGGTCATGTGACATGAAAGTGGAATGAGTTTAGGAGTGAGCAGACGAATGCTGACAAACTCTTTCAACAAGGTGAACTAAAGCGGAAGAGGATAAATGGGATGGTGTGTCACGTGATAAATGAAATAGGTCTGATAGGATGGCTAATTAATTGAGTGAAGCTTATTGGTTGAAGTGCAATGCGTCTACAGTAATTAATGACAGATATGAAACTTAATGCTGGGAACTTGGGAGTGTATATGATTCGAGGTGCTGAAATTGTGCAATCTAAACGGTACAATTTGAGGTGAAGGTGATTCGTGATAATTTACAAAAAATTTCAAATTATTCGTGATAATTTACAAAAAATTTTAAATTAAAAAAATATAAACTATATAAATACTACTGAGCAATTACTTCATTAGGATTAAAACGTGATTACATAAAGATTAAAGTTATTCTAAATTTCAATCTAATCCTATTCTTAAATAATAATATGTACCTGAACTAAAATATACCTATCGCACATATATAATGAGGAGGTAACACATTTAATGTGCAATCAGCAATGTGTAAATGTGTAATGTGTAAATTTGTAATGTGCAAATATGCAATGTGTAAATGTGCCATGTGCAATGTGTAAATGTGTAAATGTGTAAATGTGCAAATGTATAAATGTGTAAATGTGTAAATGTGTAATGTGTAATGTGTAAATGTGTAAATGTGCAATGTGTAAATGTGCAATTTGCAGGTTACCAATCTAGTGGAGAAGGGCCGTAAGAAGTGTGAAGAGTACTGGAGCGACACCAAACCCCAGAGTTACGGTAACACCACCGTGGAGTGTCTGGGTATTGTATCCTTCCCCGACTACAAAGTCCGGAAACTTTCCGTCACACAGGTTTTTTAACATTAAGACATCAACTTCAACTTCAGTTTACATAGGACAGTAAGTCCTGCATACGCTTTTCAGTATGATGGAAATAATTTCGAATCTCCCATGTAAAATCCCCTGATCCACGTCTTTAAAGCTAAGGACCCGGTACATTCCGCTAACACTGTTTCTCGCCAGGGTTCAGGTAAGTCGCGGATAGTAACTCACTACCATTACGAGGGATGGCCCGACCACGGTGTACCGGATACTCCCACTAGTATGATAGCCTTCGCTAAACGGGCCTTCTCCGACAACCTCCAGGGACAAGGTATGTTGGTTGTGGTGGTGTGTATTCGGGAACTTAGAAGAGGGTTCCTAATTGAAATCTAGTAGTTACAGTTCCGTACTGATAGCTGTATTTGCGTGTCAACTGCAAATAAACTAATAGACAACACACACTGTGTTACACAGAGTGTAAGAGTGTTACATAGGGTGTTACACAGAGTGTTACATAGGGTGTTACACAGAGTGTTACATAGGGTGTTACACAGAGTGTTACACAGAATGTTACACAGAGTGTTACACAGTGTGTTACACAGTGTGTTACACAGAGTGTTACACAGAGTGTTACACAGTGTGTTACACACTGTGTTACACAGAGTGTTACACAGAGTGTTACACAGAGTGTAAGAGTGTTACATAGGGTGTTACACAGGGTGTTACACAATACACACCCACACTAACACCCACCCCTCCCCCAGGTCCCATATGTGTACACTGCAGTGCGGGTGTGGGGAGGACAGGGACTATCATCTCCCTCCACCTCCAGATGGAGAACGTGAAGAACAACAACAAGATCAACATATACGACACTGTCGTGCAGTTGAGGAAGTGCAGGAAGATAATGGTCCAGACTGAATCCCAGTGAGTCGGATTACTGTTCATAAATTACGCTTGTAGTGTTATTTTGTTCTGTCCCTCGTTGTAATGGAGCCTGTCCAGTTTGTGATTACTTAAGATTTTATTAAATTCAGCAGTGTTGATCAAGCTCTTAGACAGCCCCTTAAACCCCCCCCCCCCCCCCCCCCGCCCAGTTGTTTTGTTGTGGACCCCCATTTATATCCCTTTCTTCCAGATACGTGTTTGTCTATCAAGCTGTTAACGAGTTGTTGAGATGTGGAGATACTGAGATATACGCCCAGATGCTCTCCCACGCGTACAGGTACTTCACATAATCCATTACATGTAGTAAAATTAATCATACTAAAATCCATATTAGGTATTATATCTGCATACTACCTTCACGTTCGTGAATACAGCTTTCTGATATTTTATCCGTCTGAAAAATCGATCTACCGAGTACCGACGCAAAAAGCTTCCAAAGGATTTTTTACTTTTTTAAGTCCCATTAAGTGCCCTTTAAGGGCTATGGCTTACCAACTTTTTTTCAAAACTTTTCCACGTGTCTTAATGCCACTTTTTGCCACTTTTTACCACCTTTTACCACCTTTCTTGTTTGTCGAATATCTTTAGTTGTGAACATTGTAGAAGGTTGCGGATTAATCGAACCGCAAATATACAGAATAGTATTACAGGTTATATATTATGAATATCATCATTGCCAAAATAAAAACCAGTCCATGGGACTGAAAAAATTAGTTGACTTTCAATTCGAAAGAGTTAAATTCTAAATTATTCATGTCGGTTTTATTTGAGGTATTTCTAGATCCTCTAATGCACTATAAAAGTAATTTCCTAATTAAAAATGATAATTTACACCGATAATAATTTATTATATCGTTGTATTTCTGTTTCTTTTTATAAGCAGTCAGTTAATTAGATAATAATCAATTAGCTAATTAGCAAAACTTTATAATTTTTCATTGGCTCAAAATGATCGAAATAGCTTAAAACACGGAGAAAAGTAGTCTTTAGAAAAACTTCGTTATACGAATGGTCGTTTTTTGCAGAAAGACGTGGATTTTGGAGATCGTGGTATAGTAGGTATAGGTCTGAATATGTTGTCGCTACTTCCGTCCCTTTGTACGTGTTTGTACGTGGCACGCGTAGTGTACTGATGTGTATAAAACATGAGTATGGTTTACTTTTGCTTACAATTTCTTGAATTACAAATATAAGTTAAGTTCTACGGCAATTGAATTAAATTTCAAGTGTTTCCCGTATTTAAACTTTAAAGCATAATTTATCAATATTTGATATTATTGTTATGAAGTGAGCTGATTAGAGCTTATACTTATAATTATAGTGAATGGAAATCTAGCGTCCGCCAAAACGAAACAACGGGCGCAATTCTTGTTTTGCATGAAACGGAGAAATTTTTTTCAAAAAAATCGGTACATACTACATTTTTTGTTTCAAGAATAATAAAATCACCAATATTTGTAGTTGGAGTCAACATCCTTAATAACAATTCTTCATAATCTGTCCCTATAATCAATATCCAAGAAATCCAGAAGAAATTTCCCGTATCCTGGATTAAACTTCCTGCATATCTATCGTAATCAAATACAGTAGCTGCAGAAGTGAATAGTAATGGCCGTGTCATATACCTAAACCAAAGTCACATACCTAAACTTTGTGATAATATCGAACATAATCCTACTCCTAACAATTTCGAAAATTCGAATTATATATTTTTCGCCAAAAGTGAAGAAATTGCATGAAACGTGGACAAAAATGCTTTTTTTAAAACTCCGTGAATGTTTCGTTTCAAGAATACTAAAATCATGATCACCGATATTTGTAGTTGGTGATCACGATATTAGAATTTTATGATTGATTACAGTACCAGAAAGCGTACAATGTCAACTCGCTCTTTTCAATGCTCTTCGATCCGTCCCACATTAATCCCGAGCTGATAATCATGGCCCCCAAATATCCTGCGGCAAGAACCTATCTTTTTGCTTCACAACATCCCAATCCCAAATCTTTAATAACTCTCCTGGCACTCATTTAACTGGATAGATTATTTACTACCGTATATAGTATAGTAATAGTATATAATGTATAGTATACTATAGTACATGTAGGTATAGTATATGTATAGTATTATACTACCCCTTGCCCGACGCCTGTATCTAGCGCCCCCCCCCCCCCCCCCCCCCCCCCCCCCCCCCCGACCCCCCCCCCCCCCCCCCCCCCCCCCCCACCCCCGCTGAAAAAGCGCCCCCCCTGTTGTCGCCCCTCCCTAAAATTGGACAAATTAGATGAATTTAGAGGATACGCCGGTAAAATCTATAAAAAAGTGTGTTTCTAAAGCAAAACGCGCAGTTTTGCTAGTAACGTAGTTAAGTTTTTCAAAATTTTCCAACATTCAAACAACGATTTGATGTCTGAAGTGTCCGTGAGGACTGAGGTGATTCAATGCGATAAAGGGTGTGCTTGGCATGGCACCAGACATCATTCTGAGTGCCAAAGCCTGGACACTCCTGCAGACTGCAGATCAGGTAGCCTAATTGTACAGGACACAGGTAATAAACACATACCTTTGCTGTGACTCAAGACAAATCACATACATGGAATTCGATCAAAAGTTCCTTTGAGATCGTTGCACCTCTTAATATTGCTTCTGCGGAACACTCCTGGCTTCTCAATACTCCTTCCACGGAACAAGTGGAACGAAAAATCTAGATTATAATCTGATTATAATCTGTGACTGGGTGTAGTTAGACTTTATTATAACTTAATTTTCTTAATACAGTAGCGGCAGATAAAAATGCAGAAGTGAATAGTAATGTGATTACGATAGTTTAATCCCAGGAAGTTTCATCCCGGCCGTCACATACCTAAACTTTATAATAATATCGAACATAATATACTCCTAAAAATTTCCGAGAAATCCTGTTTATATACAGGATTTCTCGGAAATTGCTTAGTAGAGGGACAGGTTAGGGAGGATTGTTATTACGGATGTTGACTCCAACTACAAATATTGGTGATTTTATTATTCTTGAAACGAAAAATTTACAGATTTTGTTTGAAAAAATATTTTTCTCCACGTTTCGTGCAATTTGAGTTTTTCAAAATGTAAGTGAAAAATTAAGCTATTTCGATCATTTTGAGCCAATAAAAAATGATTTGTTAAACAAAGACAAAATTTGTCTTTACAAAAGGGTAACTCGGTAATCTGCCGATGCACATCTGGGGCACACCTCGGGCACACCTCGGGCACAAACTCGGGCACACCTCGGGCACACCTGGGGCACAAAGCACACCTCGGGCAGAACCACCTAGGGCACACCTCGGGCACACCTCGGGCACATCTCTGGCACATCTCGGGCAAAATTCGGGCATGGTAATTGGAAAACCTTGGGAAAAGAACCTGGGCACATCTGGTGTGCCCGAGGTGTGCTTTGTGCCCCAGGTGTCCCGAGTTTGTGCCCCAGGTGTGCCCCAGGTGTGCCCCAGATGTGCATCGGCAGATTACCGAGTTACCGTATTCGACAAACAAGAAAGGTGGTAAAAAGTGGTAAAATTGGCAAAAAGTAACATTAAGACACGTGGAAAAGTTTAGAAAAGTTGGCCAGCCATTAAGGGCACCTAATGGGACTCAAAAACTACAAAAATCCTTAGAAAGCTTCTTGTGTCGGTATATTGATTTTTCAGACGGATCTGTCTGTACTACATGATTTGATTTGTAACACCCTGATATTCTCAGGGATTTGAGGAAGACCGTGTCAGGCACAGATAAAACTGGTATTCAGGTAGAATACCAGAGACTGGTTTACATTGCTAAAGAGGACTCCAATGGCAAGTTTATAGAAGCTACAAAAGAGTATAATCACAATAAAAACAGATATCACAACATCCTGCCTTACGAGAAGAACCGAGTCAAACTCGCTTATCAGGTAAATTAAAATACAAATTGTTTCGCTCAGAAAAAAATACAGACCATCTCAGATCAGATGGACTGTATTTTGTCTAAGCGATGGTTTTTCTCATTTGTCTCTTTATGAGTTGGATGTCCTAAGGGGTCATGTCATTGAGTTGTAGTGCACGTACGGAACGTTCGCTAAAAATGTTTTGTACATACTTTCACTAAAACTCATTTCACCTTCTGAACTAGTAGTGTTCAGTAGGATTCACGTACTCTTGTTCGACACGCACGTTCGACAAAATAAAATTTGCCAGATATCACCCCTGCCGTACTTCGGTACGTGTCGAACTAGAGTCCGGGTAGCGTACTCTAGTCCGACAAATAGTTTCTACTTGTGATCCAATGGCTATTGCTGGGTCGTCATCATAGGATCACAGGGTTCAATGGCAGATACAAATATTTTCTGACATTTAGCAACCATGAGCGGTTAGAAATTCAAGAACCTTTCAGTATAATTTTAATTCTCCTGTTTACCACTCAGTTCCGGTCTAGCTAACAGGAAATTAGATCGATATCCGACTGATTTCGATTCAGCAGCCAAATCTCTAGACCGGTACTCGGTAACTAGTCGTTTGTGATAATATAAAGTGTGGTATGTGGTAGATATTTATAAAGCGTACTTTACAAAAATTTGCTCCTTCATAAAAAAAATTATCGATTTTTACATTCCACACACTATTTTCAACTCACCCTGTAGATCTATAAAACGGAGTACGAGTTATTACGTTAATCTTTTATCTCTCCACTAAGTCTACAATTCTGCTAGCTAACAATTGAATTATGAGTATGAGGACTATTAAATAGTCATAGATATGGATTATAGAGATTGCATTCACACATAATTGAACATCATGAGACTAGTGGAAAACAAACAAACGAATAGATTACAAGCTCGTAAAGGATCGTTGCTTGAGATCGGAGATTTCAAAACTCTCGTTCGACAGTCAAAGTTATCTTGTCGAACTTTAGTACGTGTCGAACTTGAGTCCAGGTAGCGCGCTTTGGTTCGACAGAGTACGTCTACCTTCAGTAGCATAAATACTACTACAATACAATACAATACAAATTAATAATTATCAGTTGGAGAAATTGAGATTTCAAAAAGTTTATTTTCATGAATTTTTGTTTTTGATAATCACTGACGTTCACTAACATTCACTACAAAATGACTGGAACGTGCGTTCAATACGACAAAATCTACCGTTCACTTCAACTAAGTGACCGTCATTCACATATTACGTAATCACTTTGGACGATTTTTACCCCCCCCCCCCCCCCCCCCGTCCTCCGTAATCAGTTTTACGCATAGCTATTGTGTCAAAATTAGACTAGCGTAATCATTTGGAACCCCCCCCCCCCCCCCTCGGCTGATTACGTAATATGTGAATTGTGAACTACCCCTATACTAAGTATGATAGGAAGTCATTCATATTAAAGTATGATATAAACCACACCTCCCCTCTAACTACACCACCTCCCCAGACGGGCGTACCCGGAAGTGACTACATAAACGCCAGCTACATTTCCTCCTACCACGAGAAGAACGTGTACATCTCGACCCAGGCTCCTAAGGATGGGACAGTTGTTGACTTCTGGAAGATGATATACGAGACAGGAGCCTGTTCTATCGTCTGTATGACTAATGTTGTCGGTATGTTATGTAATCTGTTCATAAAAAAGTTTCTTTGTGCTAAATTTCACTTTATTTGAAGTGTCAAAATAATACCAAAAAGTGCGACTTGAAGTTTCCTCATTTCTCTTTCTCCTATTTGTTTATAAATCATAATGCGTAAAAACACCCACCCCCCCCCCCCCCCCCCCCTGTAACACGACCATCACCCCAGAGGAAGGTAAGATAAAGTGTGCCCAATACTCCCCCCCCCCCCCCCTGTAACACGACCATCACCCCAGAAGAAGGTAAGATAAAGTGTGCCCAATACTCCCCCCCCCCCCCCCTGTAACACGACCATCACCCCAGAGGAAGGTAAGATAAAGTGTGCCCAATACTCCCCCCCCCCCCCCCCTGTAACACGACCATCACCCCAGAAGAAGGTAAGATAAAGTGTGCCCAATACTCCCCCCCCCCCCCTGTAACACGACCATCACCCCAGAGGAAGGTAAGATAAAGTGTGCCCAATACTCCCCCCCCCCCCCCCCTGTAACACGACCATCACCCCAGAGGAAGGTAAGATAAAGTGTGCCCAATACTCCCCCCCCCCCCCCTGTAACACGACCATCACCCCAGAAGAAGGTAAGATAAAGTGTGCCCAATACTCCCCCCCCCCCCCCCCCCCTGTAACACGACCATCACCCCAGAGGAAGGTAAGATAAAGTGTGCCCAATACTCCCCCCCCCCCCTGTAACACGACCATCACCCCAGAAGAAGGTAAGATAAAGTGTGCCCAATACTGGCCGCTACAAGAGCAGGAAGAAGTAGAGTACGGATCCTGCAAGATAAAGTTACTGGCAGTGGATGAGGGTCCTGATATAACGAGGAGGGAGTTGTGTGTAACCCACTCCTCAGACGGCTACAAGGCTCTCAGACTTGTCAGGTAGGCGGGCAGATCTTCTTGTTAACCTTTTTAACCTCGTTACATCTTCTTTTTAGCCTTTTTAACCTCGTTACATCTTCTTGTTAACCTTTTATATTAATAATGCCGATTAAATTCAAAATAAGAGGGCTCTCTACAGTTTGATTTTAATGCTTATTTTGCCCCTTTTCTGATCTGATAGTGATAAGAGTACTCTTATCTTGACTCTTGTCACGAATAAGCAGATACAGCTCAGCTATAATTAGTTATAATTAGCAAATAATTAGCTATAATTAGTTTCTCACTCCTCAGATTATGGCACTTCACGACCCTCACAGAAAAGAGCATGAAGTTGGGAGGACTGGCCATGATAGGGGCAATAGAGAACATGGCTCGGTGGCAGAAACAACAGGGCAACAAGCCGGCTGTCGTGCACTGCGGTGGTGGGGTGGGGAGAGCTGCTGCTTTCATTGCTATTGCTAACTGTCTCGAACAGGTAGATATTGACATTGAGAATATCTCTAATCACAGTTCACACTATGTTGTATATATACTACTTATATAGAATATTCTCTGCAAGTTGTTTAGTTGGTTTCTTTTAAATACTGAGCTTTGGGACAGAATTTAATGAATATAAAGACGGTCTGATAAAGTGTGTGCCCTTCAATTTAGGATGTAACTTTTACTAAATCCTCGCCTCCCCACAGCTAAAGTTAGAAGGAACTGTGGACATTTTCCAGACCGCCCTGCAGCTGCGTCGCTCCCGACCTTTCATGGTTCAAAGTGTAGATCAGTACGACTACATCTACAGAGCACTGGTGCAGTATGTGGACAGCTTTGATAATTACGAGAACTTCAAATAGTTGGAATACTTCCGTAATACTGTTCAACTTTAGCGCAGGATCGGTTCGCTTACTCGGCTTCAGTTAATTATGTGCGACATGTTTGGAACCGTGCAACCGAACCTGAACACATAACCGAAACTGAGCTAAAGTTAAACAGTGGAATTACTTGTGAGAGCAGTTTGGTTTATTAAAACCTGAACAAACCCATACCACCAACAGTGTCACAGTTTCTTAATAGTTTGAATGTTCGCCATGATAAAAGTCATTTCGTCTTCGAGAAGAAAACCATTATTTTTACTATTGTATTGTATTTGAAGAGTTAATAAAGTTGATTGACGGAAAGCATGTTATTTAACTATTGGATAAAACATATGAAAATGTGGAGGAATGTTTTGAACCTTGACAAAGACTTGACCTATTGATTTGATGCTTGTTAATGAGTATAGAATTAGAAGAAAAGAAGACTGGATCAAATTATGTGTTATTGTAGTAGCAAGATATTTGAATTGTTTGTTTTATGTGAATTTCTACAATAACTGATAACGTTGATTTTGATCTATTTTGGGTCGAGGTTTATATATGACAGGGACGTGGTTATTTAATTTAGAACTTTTGTTATTAAAGGTCTTCTTTTCTTCTAGTTAATTCCCACACTATATATTTTTTAATTTCAGCATTTTGTAGATAAATCCGGTACGATTTATATTATTTTGTATTATTTATTTTGTTAAGAATTTTAGTTGTGTTTGCTGTTTGACGCCAGTTGATAATATTGTATAACCGTTATTACCTCTCTCTCGATTCGAAATAGTAAGAAGCTGTTTAAGCTGCATATTTGACGCTTCGATTATTCACATTGTTCAAATCTTTTATCATTTATTTGCTAACCAATTTGCAGAGTTTCACTTCTTTAGTTTTTCTCCGGTATCCAGTAACTAGTTTTCCATGAATTTGGAGGGTCCTGGAAGCTGTATTGAGTATATCCGAAGAAAACTTTGATGGAAAGAAAATTATGAAAATGTCCTACCGATAGGACATTTTCAGATGTTTCCTATATTATATACTAACAGTAAGAACTCGCTAGTCAAAAGGGCCGGGAGGTCGGATAAGTTTAATCAAATTGCCAATAATAACTACCTTACTCGGGAATATTATAACCGGGATAAAGTGGTGGGTTTTGGAAGATTCTGCCATATTTTTCCCGGTCAAAAATTTTACCAGTCATAAAAAAACCCGCCGACTCAGATTATGGGGTTCCAAGGGGGTGGTGATCATCATAATTTACCTGAAGTCTCATATGTGCTAGAGAAGACTTTTGAAGCAGTGGATGGAGGGCTGTAACTTTATTGGCGGTTGCTACCATAATTTCGTTATAAAAATCACAATTTGGTTATAGAAATCAGATTTCAGGGTGGACCGTGATTCTCACTTCTCTTGCCCATGAATCAGTGAATCGTAGAGAGTAATATCAATAACTGTAATATCAATAATAATATAACTGTAAATTGAAATAACTTCTTTAACAAGTAACAGAAACAGAAATTTCGGTTGAAAATTTGTTGACCTCTGAAAAAAAACTTGAAAGGTCGGCCACCGGTAAATACATGACCGGGATAATTTGGCGGGTTTTGGGAAAGTCCGCCATATTTTTCCCGGTCATAAATTAACCCGCTATAATATTCCCGAGTAAGGTATAAGTAATATTAATAAGATTATTAATATTATAGTTAAACCCCGATTTACCGCATATTACCCTACAACTATCAGATTATTTGACAATTCACAACCCGGCCCATCACTCAAAAATTGAAAACTCGGACGAATTTATAATAATATAATTTGTATGTTAGTCGCGCTGCAAACTGCAGCATTCTGCAACAATTGAGTTGCACTGGGATGTTTTCTCGCGATGTGACTATTTAAAAAAAGTATCAGGCTGACTTGCACATCTTTTTCAGGTTCAAAAATCACATACATACGCGCTGGAAAGCAACGTAATAGTATACTTCCAATTCCATTCATTGGCCATGATCTGATCTGTACCTTATGTGTTTATCTACTTATAATTGTATTAACATATTCTGTCAGTCGCACCACAGCAATTGGATTGCGCCGGAATGTTTTCTCGCGATGTGACTATTTAAAAAAGGATCACGTTGAGTTACTCATTTTTTACATAGAAATTTTCTTAATTTTGCTTCTGTGATTTTATTTTTAGTGATATTAGGTAGAAATCGGCGTGGCCGTAGTTACCTGTTTAACTTCCCGATTTTGAAGTTTAATCTAGCCTAGGAACCGACCGGAATGGGCTTTTGGCTGCCGTAGCAGTAGACATAGATCAAATCATTATCAACAAGCAGAACGTTGGAACATCAACAAGAGTAGACAAGTTATTATCAGAAATGCTATGCAATTGGCATTTCCTACCAAACCCCTTGAGCGCGATTGCACGTGTGAGACACATTTGTTGCCTTTTTGTCATGCAGGTTTGAGTATCAAAGCACAATAGTTCCCGATTCAGGGCACATTTCTACCTTTTTAATTTTAGCATGCAGGCGCACTGCACTTAATCACTGGTTATTTCCAATTAAGCGAGACAGGGCACAAGTTGTAGGTTTACAACCTACCAGGACGCGCGCCGAGTTGGACTAATATATGGATCAGATATTATATTTATACGAGTATCACCCGTTAAGGCACAAGCCAAATGTTAATAGGGTTATGTTTAGGGTGAGGGTTATAATGGTTATCTCCGTTTCTTCGGCTTTGTAGTTATGGTTTGGATTGGGGCAAGGGTTTATGTAAAACCGTTTTTTATTAACAGCTTCTTAATTTTAATAGGAGGTGCACGATAAAAATAAACTTGCTCGGATTTTAAAAATTTTTGTACCACTGTTTTCTAGAGATTGTGAGAATTTCCACAATACCAAATTTGTCATACCTTTTTGGAAAGATCAGTGAGTTTCGCCTAGGTGCCATATTTGATGGTGCGCGGCTTTTGGAGCAAAAGTAGCTGTAAAAGTCGCGCAATTTGACCAAATTCGTCCAAATTTGACCATTTTGGTCGTATTATCCGGATTTATCTTCAGTTCCTTAAATGAGATCATTTTGGAAATTGGCGACGACCTTCTAATAGGGCTTTCACAACTGTCCGAAAAATTTGGTGGATATCGGAGTTGATATAGTGATCAAAATGGGACAAAATACGCTACTTTTAGCTGTAACATATAATGTCTGATGGTTGGATATGCTTTAAATTTTTCGGACACTTTCCTTGTAAGTCTTTAAGTAAGTTTACCAATTTTTGTTGCAATTGGAGGTCGGGAAGGATACTCAATATTTATTTGTTTGAGGAAAATTGTGCTGCCGAAATTAGCGCTAAAAAACCATCCTACAGTCTGCAGTCGGCACGCGCGGCTCACTGTCGATGGCGCACTATCTAATTTTAATTTTATTTTATTTTGCCTTAAAATGCCCAACCGGTTTCTCGGGACAATCAAATGTCGTAACGCAATATTTGTAATTTCATTTTAAATTGTTGGCACTGAGTTTACTCATACTGTTTTATTAGAAATTTCTTTCAAAGAATCATCAGCAGTTGGAATTGTAGTACGTTGATTTAATAAAGTAGAGAGCAGTTTGAATTTGTCATTTGACAAACTAGATTATCAGTCTGCAGGAAATTTCTGCAATATACAAATATAATTGTAGCCTTCAACTAACTCAATAAAATAAGAATGTAATTATATAGAAAACCCGCATCTTTTTCTGGATAAACGATCACATACATACGCGCTGGAAAGCAAAGTATATTTATTAATATTATTTCCATAAACAATTAATTGGCCACGCCACACGATATGTAACATGTGTTTATTTACTTATAATTAAATATTCAGTTAGTCGCACCGCAGCATTTTACCTGGGGACCTCATGCTATTAGTATTATATTTATGTTCATAATCACCCTACGCGCGTGGGGTGGACTCCTGGGGTGGACTTTTATTCAGCGCGTATTTTGTAGCCTGTTCAACTTGACGTTTTGAATCGTTACTATCTCAATGTCACAGATACACGGAATGTGAGGTGATCATCTTAAAGAGAAACGTCTCAGCTTTCACCTGGTGTAAAGTTTATATTTGTACTCAAAATATAGCTCGCTCAGTGTGCAATAGAAGTTGACAATACAATAACCACGTCCGCGACCGGTCGTCAGATACCGGAGTGTTGCACAAAATTGGGTCCCTAAATTAAAATTCTATGACACAGTTACCATGCAGAAATGTCTGGAGTAACATTTGGTGAAAATTTGAAGGGTCTACTGTTAATATTGCAAAAGTTATTGAAAACAAACTAGCTTAATCAGAAGTTTTTGGGAAAATTTCAAATTTTGTACGTAGTGGGGTCTACTGGGGTGGACTCTCGTGACGCGCATCTGATGGCGTGGCTTTTTCAACAGCAGTCAGTACGGCCAATATCAGAGCACAAATTATTGTGAGTAAGACCTTAATGGTCAGCTATGAACCCCTCACTAGAATAGTAACCGTATCTAAAAACAAGGAAATGTTATTCCGTCAAAGCTCAAATTTTTTACTCTTCTCAGTGCAGTTACTATGAATGTACTAGCTAAGTATCGTTGATCGTAGCTGCATTACACAGTAGAAGGTAACCAAGGAAGACTGCTGATTAACGAAGCAATTTCAACGTGAACAGTTCCAAAATACATAATCATGGCGACGATAGTTCAACTTGAACCTTTATAGTTTTTACAGTCTAAGATCACAATAAAATCACGTGAACTGCGAATCACAAAATCAAATCACTCAAATCTGATACAGTCCCGTTACAGTACGCTTTCGTGACAACCTCAACGCTTAAAAAAATAAATATTCTGCAGTCTTGTGACCACCGATGGCCCTAACTCTCCCTTGTCCGCGAGGAGCATCGTTGCGACCATGGGTTTCAGTTCTTTGTTCTTCCCACTCGGCTTCGATAGATCGAATTGGCTGGAAGTCAATCTATCAGAAAGACCTTTGTCGATCTCAGGGGCGTGGTAAATTGTGGATGTCGGAGTATAAAGCTTCCTGAAAAGATTGAGACATTCACTCGGTCTGTTGTAAATATCGAATAGTCCTTGTAGGCCGAGATTTAATTTATGTTGGGTTTGATAACTAGAGAAGGCGATTTGATATTCATTGATAGTATAAGAGTATAAGCATATAAGCATAAGTGATAAGTTTATATACCCTTTTTATGGTACCTCGATATCAGTATTGAGTAATCATCACTCAAAATCTACTTATTAAATTTATTAACTAAACAAGTTAATGTATTACCGTCCTAGAGAGGTTTTCCTGAGAATTTGAAGTCTCTGTAGGTTGCTGACATGTCTACTAAGCTCTTCGATTGAGGAGTTTTGGACCCCTCGGCGGTCCAAATGATTTATAATGCTGTGGGCATTTTCAACATCTATCGAGCTAAACGCCCTCGCAGCATAACCTGTAGAGAATGAACATGTCATCAATGCAAAGTTCAATGATAAAAATCAGAGTGGCCGATTTCAACGGGCAGAATTCGAATATCATGGCCTTGGGGAATGGACTATTTTTTGTCGATTTTACTAACCAAACTGGCAAACGATTGTTGATTTTCGTCACTAGTCTAAAATGAAAGCAAACGTTCGGCCGAACATTTACATGATTAAAAACTTACCGGTTTCTTTCGTTATTATGTACAGACATAGCCGGGCTTGGGTTCCGCATACGATATCTTCTATCAGATTAAAGCTGAACCCACACTTTGTACTGCTCGTGGGAGGAGAAAAGCAAACTGATACCTTTTCCATGAGCATCTCGTGTAGTACCATCATCATTTCGATTCTGATATCAGCTGCAAAATTCGTCTATTACTAAATGCTAGCTTTTCGAGCTTCGTATCTTGGAAATAACAACTTCTATGAAAGAACACACACACACACACACACACACACACACACACACACACACACACACACACACACACACACACACACACACACACACACACACACACACACACACACACACACACACACACACACACACACACACACACACACACACGCACACACACACACACACACACAGACGCACAGAGACACACACTCACTCACACACACACAGACAGACAGACACACAGACAGACAGACAGACAGACAGACAGACAGACAGATACACACACCCACAAACACATACAGACATAGACACACAGACACAGCATAAACACAGACACACACAGACACAGACGGACACACAGACAGACACAGTTACACACAGACATACACACACACCCACAAACACACCCACAAACATACACAGACACATACACACACAGACACATACACACACAGACACATACACACACAGACACATACACACACAGACACATACACACACAGACACACACACATAAACACACATAGTTCACTTCAGTACACTACATTACAATTACAGACACACGCAGTACAATCAGAGACACACACTCGATACAAAGACAGACACAGGCACAAACACACAGAGTACACTTCAGTACAATCACAGACGCAGGCACAAAGACATATACAAGAAGAGCAGATTGAAGTACCTTCATTTGCAGATGTTGACGCATTGATCTGTGGGATATGTTCTTCAGTCTGTAACTGATCATCTGCTAGAACTGTCTCATCTGGATCAACCGGAGGAGTATCTTCCGGCAGGAGTCTGAGTGGGTCTATCGGGACAGCCATGGATCGCTCTCCGTACCTTGCTGAAATAAAGACAAAGGTCAACGACGGATGTCGCATGTCAGTCGTGTAACTAAATGTAATGCAAAATAGTGAATAAATAATTTTTACATCTGAACGATTGTTCATTGATTCTTTGAATCTGTTCATTGATTCAAAGAATCAATGAACAAAAGTTCAGGATTTTACCTTCTGTTAAGCTGTTAGCACTGACTCTAGCCCCCTCTCCCTACAAAACGACCATATCTCGGGCTGGAGCTTTCAACCGTCTTGCCTCAGCAGCCATCTAGCACAGTCGACCTGTCCTGTTAATTATGTGATCATCAAGTTACCAAATTTAATCCTTCAATATTCAAATAATTGATTATCAGACAAAACAGAGTTTAGAGCTCGACGTATGCTTCAGGGTTTCACACTGTGCTGTAATCAAACGCATGACTAAAACCTCTTGCTACTATTACCAATGTTAGATAAACCCATATTGTTAAGGCGGTCAAATGATTTACCTGAGTTGATCGCGTCATGAAAGGGTTCAACTGCGCTCTGTCCAGCTTGTTAATGTCCGCTCCAGCAGCCAGCAGTGCCTCCGCCTCCGTCACTCTCCCTGCTTTGCATGGCCAGTGAAGCGTAGAGCTCCCCTCTAAGCTCTGTGACGATCCGACGAAGGATCCAGATTCCCTTCTTTTCTCTTGAGATTGCTTCAATTCTTCCTGGAGTATGCGGATTACCATTTTTATACTTCCATATAGGGCGCGTGAACAATCAGCAATGAATTATCAATTAATCAATCTAGTTTTTGAGTAAAAAGTCCACAGATTGTGATACATTGGATTTGATATTGGAAAAGACATGGCTTACCAAGTACCTTTTCATGTGCTTTTTGGAGGACAGGGATGACTTATTCCTGCGTGCCATTTCGCCATAACTATCTGCTGTAACAGCAAAAATTAGAATTATGTCGGACATAATTCTAAAAAATTGGAACATTGTAGTTAATCAGTGTGGTGCTAACAACAGAGAGCGATTTGAACGGTAGGCAATTTCATAAATTTCATTAACTCGATATAAGGATGATTGGAACAGGCTAAAATCTACAATGTGGCATTAATAACTGGCTATATCGCTGCATTAAACGATTAAAGTATTGCTAACTATGGATATTCTAAGTGATCTAGGCAGAGGGGAACCGGCACAGCCAGATTGCATTGTCTTCACTTTCAGTGACTAAGTTTCACGATAGAAAAATTGACCTTATGTATTTAAAAAAAAGGATGCACAGTTCAAGCAATAAATCAATCGGCTGCTCATATGATATTTGCATTTAAAGGAGGGTCCAGTGCAGTGACCAGTAAGTCTGTTAAGGCAACATTTAGATCTGAGATAAGCTGAGTCTTAACAAAGATAAGTGAGTTTCGAGAAAGTGCACACGGATAAAGTTATCAAGTGACAATGATAAGACTAAGTTAGGGTCAAGTCAACAGAATGGCAGCTGTAACAGAAACAGTTCATTGGATAGGGGAGTAGGGGATTATGACGGAGTGAAATTTATTTAGCAGGGCAAACAAAAAACAACTGACAGCACTGAGCAAGTGAACTGGAAAATTGAGGAACAAAAATAACAGTGGTTGTCAGCCCTTTCCGTAGCAATCAGGATTTCCCAGGAGATCGATCAGGCAATCAGGATTTCCCACGAGAATGCTCGAGTCAACGCGCGCACTTGTGTCACGTGACGGCCACGTGACGCTCTAATCGTTGTCACGTGGTACAGAAGGGAGGTTCCTAGAGCGTAGATCTCGACAAGAGGGAGTTTCTCACGGTTTATCTTCAATAACTATCGCTATTTTTATAGTAGAGAGTTGAAACTTTCACCAAATGTTTCCCTAGACATTTCTGCATGGTAACTGTGTCATAGAATTTTAATTTGGGGACCCAATTTTGTGCAACACTCCGGTATCTGACGACCGGTCGCGGACGTGGTTATTGTAATGTCAACTTCTGTTGCACACTGAGCGAGCTATATTTTGAGAACAAAGATAAACTTTACACCAGGTGAAAGCTGAGACGTGTCTCTTTAAGATGATCACCTCACATTCTATGTATCTGTGACATTGAGATAGTAACGATTCAAAACGTCAAGTTGAACAGGCTACAAAATACGCGCTGAATAAAAGTCCACCCCAGGAGTCCACCCCACGCGCGTAGGGTGATAATGATCATAGAGATTCTGCGGAATGAGTATATAACAGGCTGAGCGCGGCCGGCCCAGTAACGCAGCATTCTGCAGCAATTGAATTGCGCCGGAATGTTTTCTCGCGATGTGACTATTTAAAAAAGGATCACGTTGACTTGCTCATTTTTAACATACAAATTTTCTTAATTTTGCTTTTGTGATTTTAGTGATAAATAGGTAGAAATCGGCGTGGCCTTAGGTACGTGTTTAACTTCCCGATTTTGAACTTCTAATCTAGCCTATGCACTACTAGGAACCGACCGAAATGGGCTTTTGGCTGCCGTACCGGATTTTGCCGGGGTAATCGTACTGTAGTGCGAAGTCCGACAAAAACACCCCCAGCAAAACTTACCGGCTGGCCGTGTTAGTGTTACTAGAGGTGGTCGTTTTTCAATAGCACGTGTGTCAGCGCGCGTGACGTCACGGTCATGTTCACTGATTGCTCGCGTGAATTACAATCTGGAGTCATAGTTGACATACGTTGCATGCCACTTTTCGCGTATCAAAGTCATACTCATAGCAACAACATTATTTTGCAAAGTTAAAAAGCTGCGATCTTTAATTTGGCCCAAAATAAGACTTTTTGCGATAATTCAAAATCTACGTTGTCTTGAATTTTCCTCCTGGGGAGGAAACGTTAGTTTTACAACTACAAGGCGAACATTGAAAACCAGACGTTTCTATCTCTTTTATTTTCGAAGTTAGGCCCCTACCAGTAAGGTTTTCTGGGCCCGCTTTCGCACTACAGTACGTGTCGCAGTACGATCCAGGTAACGTACTCTAGTACGATACAATATCCTGTCTTATTTCAAAGTTCATGTCAGATCCTTTTTCGCACTAGAGTGCCTTTCTTGTGGACCCGATTCGTCGGGTCTTTTCACGTCTCTTATTTCGAAATGATCTTGTGGACCCGATTCGTCGGTTCACGTCAATGACGTCGTCATGTATTTCGAAGTGATCCACTGATAATAATTCCTTCGGGTCAGTTCAAGCCACGTATGCAGTATGTGATCCACTGAGTCACTCGTAGTCGTAAGCTTAAGCAGCATATGATCATAATTCCTATCACACGCATCGTATGAAGATATATCTCTGTTTGGGATAACAAGTTCATAATATGCTTGGGCCATATATAATTATCAGGTCACGATGATTCTACTGAAGCATCGAACAACATCAATATGTCTTCTACAATCATCTTCATCTACAATGAATGTTGGAATTTCATTTTGATCGGTTTTGTTGTCAGATAACGTTAATTTCTAGTCTAAACTATAATTATAAAGATTATCTTATAAGTATGTCTGTACGACCGACCACTTGCAAATTTTATGAGAAATAGGAAGCTGCATAGTAACCATGGTAACGGTGTTCAAAAACGAATGTGCACGTGCAAAGATTTGCGAGCGAAAATTTGATCGGTTTTGTGGTAATAACGTTGTGTTCAGTGCAAGCTACACATAATTGATCGTTATCCCCAATTCTTCGGCTTTGTGGTTATGGTTTGGATTGGGGTAAGGGTTTATGTAAAACCGTTTTTTATTAACAGCTTCTTAATTTTATTTTATTTTGACTTAAAATGCCCAACCGGTTTCTCGGGACAAAGAATCAAATGTCGTAACGCGATTTATTTAATTTCATTTCAAATTGTTGGCACTGAGTTTATTGTTTTATTAGAAATTTATAAATTTTTTTGAAAGTATCATCAGAAGTTGGAATTGTAGTACGTTTTTTAAATGTTAAGTAGAGAGCAGTGCAGTTTGTGTTACCTGGATAATTAGATTACAAGTCCGCAGGAAATTCCTATAATATTACGTAAACTATCAAAACCTGGATTTACCGCATACCCTGATTTACAGCGGATTTTTCCTAATCGTGGTATATTATTACTGTATGTTCCAATTTAATCAATTACATGTTTCTTCTCCCGAAGGTGAAATGTTTTGGCTAATGATCTTAATCGCGACTGTTGAGTTGACAAATGCTGAGGATCCTTACAAAGAGTGCTACAGCGAGGCTACTAAAGGAGCCGACTACAGAGGGGATGTAAGTATATCAAGTTCCGGACTCAATTGCAGACAGTGGAACGACCCAGCTTTTAACCCAACAAAAATACCTAATGCTGGCTTAGCGGACGGAAATTTTTGTCGAAATCCAAACAGTGATACTACTGGTACTGAGCCCTGGTGTTTAGTTGAAGTAGCCCCTTTTTGGGAAACCTGTAGTCTTCAGGAATGCCCTCTTTACAAAGAGTGCTATGTGGAGGCTACTAAAGGAGCCGACTACAGAGGGGATGTAAGTATATCAAGTTCCGGACTCAATTGCAGACAGTGGAACGACCCAACTTTTAACCCAACAAAAATACCTAATGCTGGCTTAGCGGACGGAAATTTTTGTCGAAATCCAAACAGTGATACTACTGGTACTGAGCCCTGGTGTTTAGTTGAAGTAGCCCCTTTTTGGGAAACCTGTAGTCTTCAGGAATGCCCGACTGCTGGGATAACACCTCCTAACAAACGAGTTATCTCATCGGATATGAAGGAGTACACTGTCAACTGTGTCGCGAAAGGCATCTCTGAGCAAGTTCTTGGCTTTGAATGGACGACTGATAGGCAAACAGACAACTCTTACAGTTCTCAAGACGGAGTGTATGCAGATAGGACCCAGACTTCATCGCTAACATTGACTAAGGAGAACCTAATTGCACTTAAAAACGCTGGTGGTGTGGGTGTAATTAAATTAACCTGCACAGTCAAATTAGTCGAGGTACAAGGTTACGAAAAAACGGCTACAGCCACACATTCTATCATTATTGAGGAACCCCATAAAGAGTGCTACAGCGAGGCTACTAAAGGAGCAGACTACAGAGGGGATGTAAGTATATCAAGTTCCGGACTCAATTGCAAACAGTGGTTAGACCCAACTTTTAACCCAACAAAACTACCTAATGCTGGCTTAACGGACGGAACTGGAAATTTATGTCGAAATCCAAACAGTGATACTACTGGTAGTGAGCCCTGGTGTTTAGTTGATGTAGCCCCTTTTTGGGAAACCTGTAGTCTTGAGGAATGC